CACAGAAATCACAAAGTGTGACCTATCTGCAAGAAAAGAGGAATATTTGAAAAGTAATATTTTAAATCAATTATCATGAAAGGTCAGTCTCCGGAAACTGCAATTGGTTTTGACAGTCCTGGTTACAGTGCTCTCATTGTGAGTAAGTAAGCATTTACAGATCTTACACCCTATAATAATTTCCACTTGCCTGACTTTTTTGGTATTACAAAGAAAGGAGTATTCCAATGACTAACAGAGCTTTCTAAAAGTCCTAGCCACAATTGTTCTTCAAATAATTTGTATAATTGAGATAGCTTCTCTTTGTTAACTGGCCTTTGATCTACCCAAACAGGATTCTTGGTTTCCATTGTAAAAGCAGAGCTGTTGTGGTGGGAGTAACATCAACGGTCCTTGTCAAAAAAACTAGTGATCTCTGATACTTTGCTTGTTATTTTTAGATATAATCTTAACAGGCTCTTTAACTTCCTGTATGTTTTTCTTAGTTCCTTGTCTTTTGATAGCCCATTTTAGTGATTATTTGTTTAATCTTAGGATCAGAATCTATTTGTTTAGTTTCCATTTTGGAACATGTTTGTGTAGTCTTAATATCAAAATCATTAGTCAGCACTAATTTCCAATATTGTAATAAATCTCTTCCCACAAGTTAATTGGAATAGGTGCCAAGTATGGTAAAAAGAAACACTTTTGTTGGCCTGGCACCTCATAAGGCACTTCATAACACATGCTGAGGGATTCACAGCCCAATAAGAGACATAGGAGCTTTTGTGTTGGCCACATACTGGGTCACTGTTCTGATGCAATTACAGACACATTTACACCAGTGTCTATTACACCTTCAAAGCATTTTTCCACTAATTTTTATAAAACACATAGCCTATTTTTAGTAACTTCCTTTGTAAATCAAATCTCTATTTTTGTATTCTTGCTCTGAGTGTCTTTCTCCCTCTTGAGTTGTCTATATTTCATGAAGGAAGGTTTATCTATAGGTAAAAAGAAATAGCTACATTATGGTAATCTCTCTGATCAGACCCCAAAGATTCATAGTCCATGCAAGAACTTGTATGTCAGCTCTACAATTACCATCAATCACACTAAGCACAGAAGTTATTCCTTTTAGATTCAGATCAGCCTTTCCCAGTACAAGACAAACTGTTCCTTAGGTGGGGGACCCCAAATTCCTGTGGGAATTAGAGTAAACTGGTAACCTCCAATGAGAATGACTTCATAAGCTGCAGAAAGTTCTATCTTGCACTTCGAACTGTTTTTCTGATGAGTGAATTAACATCTCTGTGAACAGCCATCTTTGATGATGATAAATTTGCTAGTGAATTTGCACTGGGTAGAGCTGACTGGTATTTTTACTCACTGATTCTACCTCATCTATTGTTTGGACTAAAGGCCCCCATCTTTTTTGGCAAAGGTGTACCATCCTTAAGGAATTGAGAATGATAATATTTGGCCCAATGCATCGCTTCTTGGCATCTTTGACATGGTCCACGCACAGGACTTAGTCCTCTATCCCAGAAGCATTGTTTCTTTGACTTGCTGTAGCTGCAACATCTGCCCTATAAGATCCAGTAAGAACTCTGCCCCATTTTTTCCATAGTTAAACCACTTTACATTATCCTCTTTTTTTGTTTTTGCAGTACCAGCCATAACTTGAGCCATCATAGTTGTCTTATATAACTCAGTCACAAAGTCTCAAGCCCAAATATATATTGTTAAATCATTAGCTGACTTTACAGGATGTACACCCTGTTTATAATTCTGATTGGTGTTTTCATATGCTAACTGTAGAGTTAAAATATTCACAGTTTCTGTAGTGGAAACCTTTTTGTAATTTAGCCATGGATTGAGTAAATGATTTTGAGTTCCTTGCAGAATATGTAAAAATATTTGTACAGGAGCCCCATCCTCTGGAATAGTTGTCCGTGCTCTTTTTATTAAATCTTCCAATTGCAAGTATGACTTGTCAAGACATTGAACCTGTTCCTCAAGTGGCAAATATATTGTTTTCCCAGAAAGTATTTACTATTCTGTTTCTGGACATATTAAGACCCATTCTGTTTATATGAGCCTGCTCCAAAACAAGAGCTTTTAGCTTTACATCAAAATGAAGGAATTGAGCAGGAGATAGGCATATTTGAGTCAGATATTTGATATCATAAGGTATCAATTAATATGTATCCAAAACATTTTGTAAGAGTTCCACAGTAAATGGACTTTGGGATCCATTGTTAACCACATTTTGTTTAAGACTGCTTAGCATTTGTGTTTCAAAAGAAGTATGAACAAAATATTTATGATCATTAATATTGTTGAATTCCACCTGGGATACCAAGCAGGGGTGCCCATATTCTCCTCTTTCACAGTCACTTCTCTTAAAACCTGCAAGTTTCTAGATAGAATCCTATGGGATATTCTTTGTAAAGGCTTTGGCTCCTTTTGTGGTGAATTCCTCAAAGACTCTGTCTTGGCAGGAGGTGCCCAGCTAGGAGTTCTTTCATTTTCTGCATGTCTGACTAAGAAGCTATTGACTTTGAGCTCTGTAACAGACTCAAAACTAAGCAAACAAGGTTCCAAGTTGAGAATGATTCAGAGGAAATGATTTTCCTGTGTTATGTGCCTTTTTAAGATTCTTTCCAGCTCTTTGTCATTTATAAATATCTGTAGTGCTTGTCTGAGGAAACCATGGATGATATTTAGAGAACTCTTTTAACATTTTGCTCAATCTTTCTTTGGCACAAAAGCCCCTGAATGTTTGAGTAGCCCTTGGAGCAGCTGTATGTACCTTTGCTCCTTGGCCAAAAACATTTGCCCCATTTTACTCCCAGATGAAATGGCTTGTTCACAGAAAGAAGACTCACCCTTGTTCTTCTCTCATTTCTCCAGGCATCCCTGGTGAAGTTTCTATACTGTGAAGGCCTTCTCTGTATCCAAACTTTTCACTCTAGGCAGAGTTACTCTTTCATGCCAAAATGCCTATTCAAAATTTGAGGTCTCTCTTCAAGCACCAGTTATCAGGGACCTGGCCATGATACCCTATCTCCAAAAATGAATGTACAGTGAAGGTTTAAATTAAATAAAATAAGTGGTATGATTTTAGGACTCCAAGAGGTTCAAAACCCTCTGCAGAGTTTGAGACACTTGTGCCTAAAACAAGAAAGGTCTCTGGGAAGCCCATTTTTATTTTTTCAGTCAGGGAAGGAATTACAGTGGGAAACATAGGAAACTCAGCAAGATCTAGGAAGTGGTTCAAAGACTTTTCCAAGTAGCAGGTTATCTTAATTTAGGAGAAGTATTTTGACATTGAATATAATCCTGAGATGACTCACAGAGGCATAGATGATCTTATGCTAAGAAGAATCAATGGGGAATCTCAAATGGGAGGTACAAGGAATTCAAATTTTTCCTTTTATCCCATAAGGAAATATGTAAAACCAGTCACTGTGGATGTGTGGTCTCCAACAAACTTATCCTGAGTATTTTCATTATAGTTGAGACTACAAAATTAGACATTTGTACAAGGTAATTGTTGTAGATATATCAGAACTGAAGTATAGGTAAATTATTTAATGCTTTAAAATAGTTCTACTGTAATTTTATATGGTAAGATGTATCAAGATATAATAAGCAAATAAATCATTTTACTAGTGACTTCCCATCTGTATTATTGAAAGTCATTATGAATCCAAAATCATGCAACCAGAAATGAATGTCTATAATCTTACTTATCATTTGTATAGTGTAATGTCATCCCTTACCCAAAATAGCATTATCTAAAATTTTTTTAAAAATTAAGAAATAATCTAATATCATGGCTACTTTTCCAATATTTCTCCAAAAATCTGAACTGAATTTAAACTGTAAGTTAATTGTTTTGTAATTCACAGAAGGATATATGAAATTTGTCTAGCTATATATTTACCATGTGTTTTGTGCTGAGGTTTCATTCATTCATTAATTGTTTATAAATGAGACCAGAAGTTGATAAAAATAATGTCTATTCCAAGTGTTTTCAGGATCCCTTACTGTAACAGTGCAAGGTAAAGGAAGGCTAGGGATTTTGTAGGTGATCTCATTGTCCTCATGTCACTCCTGGGTTACTCATGTTTAAACACACTGTGTTCATGAAAACAACAGATGCCTCTTCTGGAACATGGAACTTCTATTCACAGCCTCAAGTCCTTTTTACTTTATTAATGGAAAAATGATAGGAAATTTTTTTTCCAGCAAGAACTTCAGGGAAGAGGGTGTCTCCATGTGCCTGTGAAAATTAAAGCCTCTGTTTCTTTTCCTGATGTTTGAATGTGGAACCTTGATATAGAACAGCACAAAGAACAAGGAAACAAATCTGAACCACCACAGAGGGAGAGTACAGATAAATGTGTTGGATACTAACCAGAGCATCAAGGCTTCCTTATTCATGTGGCTATTATGTGTTCATTCAAAGGTTCAAACAATTTCCCATGCTCCTGTAAATTTTTATCTAATTCTTCCCTAGTTATGTTGAGCAAATCTTTTACTAAGGTTGCTATTTCTGTCTTTATATGATATATTACTTCTAATTTTGTTTTCTCTATAGCCTCATGTAATTGTTTCTTTACTTCGTTTGCTATATTTTCACAGATTTCGGGTGCATGACTTTTGAAGGTCTCTATTTCGCTGTAACTTGTTCTTGTACCTGATGGCCTAGATGTTTGAGACTGCATTTTGGTTTTTCATTTTGTTATTTTCACTTTCTGGGCCAATATCTGGTTATTTAATCCCAATAGTCGCAACTGTCGGGAGTGTATCTCCTAGGGTCCTATGGTGTGGTTGATATCTACCTTATTGTTGGGTACAGAGTGACCGGAACCTGCCAGCGTCTTCTGTATGCGCAAAAGGCCCTCAAGTCTCCTGTCAAACCAGCACTGCCAGCCCACTGCACTTCAAGGGAGGGAGCAAGAGTGGGAGCCAAACATTCACAGCAGTGCTTGGTCTAAGAGATGGGGAGGATGGCCAAGGGCAGCAGGCCACGGCAGGGTGGGTGTGGTGGTCCTCTGGTTCAGCACAGGGAAGGAGCATGCTGGGTCACAGGCGCGGCTCAGCAGCTGGAACCTCGATGGAGCACAGCAGTCGCCCTTTGGCCCTTGGGAGGAGGTCACCCGAGGGGCATAGGAGCTGCTCAGCAGTCCAAGCCAGGGTGCAGCACGGTGGTCACCCTCTGGGTTGGCAGCAGTGAGAGGGTATGGAGAGGTGCAGGCACGGATCAGCGGGCCAAGCCAGGGCAGAGTGCGGCTGCCAGCAGTGGGAGGGTGCCAACGCACACAGGCTCTGTTCAGAGGCCGGGGCAGGGTGGAGCACGGCAGTCACCCTCTGGCGGTGTGTGTGCATGTGTGTGTTTGTGTGTGCTTGTGTGTGTGTGTGTGTGTGTGTGTGTGTGTGTGTGTGTGTGTGTGTGCTTATTATTTGTTCAATATGACTCATTTGGATCAAGTAAGACTCCTCATATCACACCATTCAACTGTATGTGCCTGGCTTGTAAAGCAGGGAGATTCATGCACAGCACACCTACTTATCTGCTAGAATTACTTTAAGGCTAAAATCTGAAAAAGTTACTCATGATAAAATAAACTTATCCATTGCAGGAGTCATTCACTCACTTAAGAAGCCACCCTATCTATCCATAGAGAGATCAGAAAATTTCATGATCTCTGAACACCATTTTCTACAAAAAGACAGTTTGAAAGGATCACTATATTATCCCAATACATGCAAGTAGAAGGTATCAATGTAACAACACATAAATGTGAAAGTAAAATTTCCTTTTTTTTTTATACTTTTTTTTTCTTTTTTCTTTTTATCAGTACCGGGGATCGAACTCACAACTGCCTGCTTGCAAGGCAGGTGCTTTTAGCGCTGAGCTAAATCCCCAGCCCCTGAAAGTAAAAATTTCTACATAACTAAATACATATATTCATTTGTTCAAAACATAGCGAGTCAAAGTGAAGTAGTCTTTAAACAAAATTTCCTAAAATTTCATAAACCTCAGGTTATAATTGCTTAGATGTATCTAAGAAGAAACCCTATTGATAGCATTCAAATTGATGAGGCCTTACGCATAGAAACATTCATGCAGTAACAATCATAGATGATGATGATGTGAGAAAAACCCCTAGATCCATGAGCAGAGAGAAGAAATAATAATATTCTTATTTCTAATTTCTTCCTCACTATGAAGAGAATCATAAGTACTTTCTCACATCCTCTTTATTTCCAAATGTAAATTTTCTGTTGTCAGTTGCAATGCATACAATGACATATTTTTAACATATAATATTTCTAAATATTCTCTGTAATTCCTGAATACAACACCAAGGTTGCTAGACCTAGCTGCATTGGTTTCATATGGCCTCATTGTATAAAAAATTCAAGCAAATTGAGAAGTTGAAATTTAATTTTCTTTTAATCAAATATAGAAGTAAAACTTATCTATCTACTTCCTTTTACTAGGATATTAGAAGAGAAGTATACTCATACAATTGAAATATTATGATTTAAACAAACCAATATCTTTTTTCAGATAAAAGTAAATTCTGAAATTAATGTTAAATATTGACATTGGATAAGATGGTGTTCCATGGTTTATGATTTGTATAACTTAAGAATTTAAAAAAATTCATTGTCCTAAATGTATTGTGTTATCTCTGATTGAAGCCCACATGATACAAAATATAGGAGTGGCAAATCAGTAACTTATTGATAAAATAAAATTTTACCAAGAAAAATGCATCAAAGTTCATATTATGGACTTGACAAACATTTCTAATAATGCATATAATGGAAAAATAAGTGATTAGTTCTAAAGAATTTTATGCTACATCTTTCCAATTATTTTTCTAATCTAAAATATTCTAAATAAAAATTTAAATAGAAAGGAAAATATTGTTGATTTTCTGTTATCAAAAATTCACAATCCCACATCATTTTCTAATGGTCATGTGTCATGGCAGTATATCTGAAGCTGCCTGCCATGACAGTGATATACAGATTCATTATGAAAATTCTCTCCACAGGAGAAGTAAAAAGGAACATAACAAATTTATGCTACCATCTATGTGTAACATCATCATACATGACAAGAAGCAGACAATAGATTTAATCATCAGGGTAGCCTTTTTTGAAATCATTCTTTAAAAATTATACCTAATTAAAAATTGAGATGAAAGTGGTTCAAAAATGTTCATTTTGGAAAATATTAACTAATAATTTAGAATTATGAACATTTCAATCAGTCTTCCCTTCAACTCATCTTTCCCACTCTACAAATCTTTGAAGTTTTTATAATATATTACATTTTTTATCAGAATTCTTTTCAGTTATAAAAGAATATTTTTTTCTCTATCTGGGCACAATCTTCTCTTAATGACCTGAAACTATGATCACTTCAAATTCCAGGTTCTTTTTGTTTCTTAGTGTTTCACTCAGGTATTACCCAAATATCTCTCTCTCTCTCTCTCTCTCTCTCTCTCTCCATCTCTCTCTCTTTCTCTCTGTGTCTCTCTGTGTCTCTGTGTTTCTCTCTCTCAATCTCTTTGTGTCTCTGTCTCTTTGTCCCTCTGTCTCTCTCTCTTCCTGCATTTGGAAAGAAAAGAATACCTTTTTGTCTTGATTGCTTTTCTGTCATTGTAGAGAATAAATACCTTATACCCAAATGAAAGAAGAAAAGGTCTATTTAGCTTACAGTGATTAGAGGTTTCAGTCCATACTAAGCTGGGATCAAAGAGGGGGTGGTGTGATAAGGGGCAGTCATTCATGGCAACCAAAAAAGACAAGACCAAAAAGGCCAAAAAGGGCAGAGCAGCCTCCTTATCATTGCTATCATTATGGTTGATACATTGTGTCAACTTCAGCAGTTTAGAAGTTTCACTGAGGGGCTCCGAATGGTGCCAGGGTTCTTACTTTGTAAAGATCCTCATCCTTTGCAAAAGAGAGCAAGGAAATTTTGATTGAGTGATGCACCTGGCCTGGAAAGGTGTACATTATAAGGAAAGAGAAGAGGCTAGTTTTATCTCTCTTACTCTGGCTTCTGCCTTGATGTCCCAGTGCCATGCCACCCTGCCTTGGAGCCAGCTGGTTATGGACTGAGAGCTCCAGAAAAAGTGAGCTAAATAAACCTTTCCTTTCTTCATTTTGGGTGCTGGGTATTTTGTACCAGCAATGAGATAAAAGTAACCAAGACACCTATAGTGTATGCTGCCTCCCTACCCCTAGAAAGTGGCAGCACTCACACCAACAATCCTAGCGCTAGACAAGGAACCAATCATGAAAATTAGATTCAGCTACCTCTGCGACTGCCTGAGCCTTGGGTATAATCCAAACATAAACCTCAGCACTACTTTTTGAACTATCTGTTCATAATGATTAGCTTAAGAGTCTAGACATAGCCAATAAAATAAATACTGAAATAACTCTTAGCTTCAGTTCCTTAAATTTGCTCAAAGTAATTTGAGGCAAGAATCTAATGAGGTTTATATCAAATGTGCATATTAAATGAAGATGGTCATTGTTAAAGTAAGAAAATCTTCTCTGTGGCCTGAACCACCCATTTCACCTTCAGAATTTTTCCCAGGCCTAATATTACTGCATTGCTGTGGAAATAGTAAATTCAATTTTCTCTATCAGTAACTCCGTAACCAGTTCTGTGAGACTTACATTTATTTTGTTAACACATTGATTTTCTTTACATAGCTTCAGAAAATACCACATTTTAAATCTAAATTATCAGTGTGATAGGAATACTATTAGAAAATAAATGATAAACATGAATATACTTAGAAAAAATGAATTGCTAGAAGGAAATAATATACACTTCCTGTAGTAAGTTAGGCCAGAAAATAAAAACATCACTTTTTCACTTAGTTGCAAAGATAAAAAATCAGAATGCACACAGTGGTGAGTAAGAAGCTTGTTACTTGAGCCTGGGACAGGTGGAGTGGAATGGTAAAGAAGACATGTGTAAGAGGTTGCAGGTGAGGTTGTCTGGAAAGAATAATTTCTAATGGACTGTGGTATAATAGGGTAACCAGTTGAAATCAGTCATTATAAACTTCAAAATAGGGATTAAAGATGATTTTAATTTTGTCAACATGAAGAAATGGTTATTGCTTGAGATGACAGATAGGCTATCTGATCATTACACACTGTATATGTACACTGAAATTCTACATTGTCCCCAATATATATATTGTCCCCTTAATATATCAATTAAGACAATAAAAATGTAGTAACATTAACAACAATATATACAGTCAGAGTAAAATTTCATGTATGAGTTGGAGGAATCACTAAATTGTAAATTAAACTTCTTCACACAGACAAATTTGCACTTGTTGTATTTCTGCCCTGTTTGTATTTACCTTGAAAGCAAAAAGGGAGAACTGGTTATTTCATCAGGCTTCAGGTGTAGATACTCCTAATTCTACCAAAAACATCCGGACTATTACAACAACCACTGTTTACTAGACATTTATTATACACTTACTGTGAAATGTGCATGCCTTTCATTGTATTTTATACATTTTCACATACCTAAATGGGGTTTACATCATAATCCTCATGAAAAATGAGGAATATGATCACCAGAAAGGCTTATAATTAACCAAAGTTGATAGAGTTTTTAATAGACTTATACATTCCTGTACTTGATCCATATTTTAGTTGCTTTTATTATAATATAAAATATCCTCTGAAAACTGAAAGATATGAATTTCAAATCTCACCAAATATCAATTTCTTTAATGTTCTGATGATGGTTGTTTCCTATTTTCTGTGGAGGAATGTCCAGCAAATATTACCAAACTGACCCTAAATGATGGTGATGTATGATACGGGAATATTTATCTTTGAGTTTCTAAGAATGATTGTGCCTCTTCCATGACGAGGTGATAATTGCTTTTTTTTATCTTCAGAGTGAATGAGACAAATGCTAACCACTCTCTGTTTCTTTACCCTAAAAATAGGTAAGGAGAATTTCTGTCCCTAAAGTCTAAGATATTTCCTCTTCTCTCAACTACATTTTTTCAAAGTGTACATGAATATGCAAGGGACAAAGAATAAAGCAAGTACAGAAGCACTGGGTACCCAGGTGAACAAAGCTTTCTCCTGCCCTTCAGAACTGTGCTTCCTCAGAGAGAACAAGAAGACACTGTGCAAAATGAGCAACAAGAAAAGATTGCAATGCACCAAGACCCCCTGCTGGCAATGACCAAAAGGCCAAAGATGTGGGTGTTGTTGCAGGCAAGCTTCAGTAATGGGTAGAGGTCACACATGAAATGGTCAGTGACACTGGGGCCACAAAAGGAGAGCTAGAAAGTAAAAAT